TAGGCAATTTGAGTCCCTTGGAATTATGGAGCAGAACAGATTGGCAGGTATATACTCACACTGAAGGAGCTGTACGCTGTTTTGTGTTGCTTTGATGAGAAGAGGGTTTGATAGTGCCCTACTTGTATAAACTGGATGCCATGTCGTTGTTTTTACTGGCTTTTAAACACTGCAAATGGAACTGCAGGTAGGTAGTGTCATCTTTGGCTCTATAAATAAGAAACTAACAGGTAGCAGAGGTCTACATGCCCAGAATTTGGTGAGCTCCATTTTCGTGTTTGCAGAGAAAGGTGTTAAGGCTGGAAACTAAAAAAAGAATTTTGCTGTGTTTGGTTTTTTTGGGGGACTAGGATTTCTTTTATGAAGATATGGAACTTCTAACAGAGAAACTAAGAGCTCTGGCTACTGATGGAAACAAGCACCGGGCCAAAGTAGATAAAAGAAAGCAGCGATCTGTCTTCAGAGATGTTCTGCGAGCTGTTGAGGTGATTCTTTTGTCTTACTTGGAATATCTGGATTGTAACTATTTAGTGTACAATTTAATGAAAACTATTTTCTTATTAAATACTGTTGCAAAGAAAGCATCATGAAAAAATAAATGAGATTTCAAATTCTGGTCACTTATGCAAAATATAAATTTTTTTTAGGAGTGTAGAATAAAGAAAGTCAACTCAGTATATTCTGCTCTAAACTTCTGTGTTGAAGAGTTGTTTTTTCTTTAAAGAAGGCTAAGCATTGCACTGTAAATACTACATTATTTTTATTGTATACCATGAGCAGATTTTTTTCATAGAAAATTTTGTAGGACACCCAAATTAGTGTCATAAATTCTGTGAAAAGGTTTATTGTAAAATATCTTACTGAACTGCTGTGCATAATAAACAAAAAACAACTTGGTAGTAAGATACATTTTCAAATGGCACCTCTTGTCAGGGACCAAAGAAGTGTTGTGTATGGGAGGGTGTTGTCCTAACAGTAGTGCTGTAATCTGGCTTTCCATATCCATATTAAGAGAAGAATACACAAAGCAGGACTCTGAAAATATTTGGTTAGTGAAATAACTTCTGAGTAAAGCCTTTAAGACAAATGTCAAACTTCTCACTTTAATGGATTATTTGTTATCTTATACCTCTCAAACTACATTTTTTTAACTTGTGAAATATGTACTTTTTACACTGCTGTATGCTGCTGTATGCATAAGACCAACTTAATATTAATTGGCATTCAGAACATCTCAGAGGCTAAGGAGGGAGGCTTTGAAGTGATATGGAGTCACCTTTGAGATTCTGCCTGTGGAAGAACCCTAGTTGCTTGTTAGCACTTGTGACATTCCATTGTCACAAATGTAGCTCGCCACGTTTGAAAGGTGGGGACTAAATGAGATGTACAAAGTGACTTAATGGTGACTCCTGCACTCAGAACTGGTATTTCTGGAGATAAGTCCAATTCTTAAAGTTATTTTAAAGATAAAAGTTAAGTGTTCTTTATTTAAAGTGCTTTCTGACTTGAAGAATATCAGTTTCAAATCTTACATGAGATTTACCTTCAGTTGCACATTGGTTTATGAACAAATTCAGTGAGACCTAGACAGGCTGGAGGACTGGGTGAGGAGAAATCTTAGCAAATTCAATGAGAGCAAGTGTAGAGTTTTGCACCTGGGAAAGAACAACCCCATGTGCCAGTATAGGTTGCGGGCTGATGTGTTGGAGAGAAACGTAAAGAAGAGGGACCTGGGGGTCCTGGTGGGCAGGGGGATGACCATGAGCCAGCAGTGTGCCCTCGTGGCCAAGAAGGCCAATGGCATCCTGGGGTGTAGTAGGAAGTGAGTAGCTAGTAGGTCACGAGAGGTCCTCCTGACCCTTTGCTCTGCTCTGGTGAGGCCACATCTGGAATATTGTGTCCAGTTCTGTGCCCCTCCGTTCAAGAAGGACAGGGAACTGCTTGAGAGTCCAGCGCAGAGCCACAAAGATAGTGGAGTGGAACATCTCCCTTATGAGGAAAGGCTGAAGGAGCTGGGTCTCTTTAGCTTGGAGAAGAGGAGGCTGAGGGGTGACCTCATAAATGTTTATAAATACGTCAAGGGGGAGTGTCAGGAGGATGGAGCCAGGCTCTTCTCAGTGACGTCCAATGGCAGGACAAGGGGCAATGGATACAAGCTGGAACGTAGGAGGTTCCACAAAAACATTAAAAGAAACTTTTTCGCTGTGAGGGTGACAGAGCACTGGCACAGGCTGCCCAGGGAGGTTGTGGAGTCTCCTCTGGAGACATTCAAAACCCACCTGGATGTGTTCCTGTGTGGCTGCCCTAGGGGATCCTGCTCTGGCAGGGAGGTTGGACTAGATGATCTTTTGAGGTCTCATCCAACCCCTAACATTGGGATTCTGTGAAATATGATCTTTAGTACATGTGTATTACATTATTTGGAGAATTTTAGTGTGCCTTATTTATTAACAAAAGCAAAGTTCATTGAGATACATACAATTGATAGTGCAGGAGAATGTTTAAATTGAAATTATATATGTTGTTTTCTTTAATTTTGGATAGGAGCGTGACTTTCCTACAGAGATGGTTAAGTTTGGACCTGAGCGCATGTATATTGACTGCTGGGTTAAAAAACAAACTTACGATACCTTCAAGGAGATTCTGGGGTCAGGGATGCAATATCATTTGCAGGTGAGCTGCTGTTTTGATACGTGCTGTTGTTCACTGTCTGGCTTCTTTGTAGTAATTCAGTCTGAATTACAAAATCATGAGCAGAACTTGATGAAATGACAGGCTTTGCATTAGAAGTGCTAAAAGGCATCATGTAGAAAATGAACTACGATGAGCTAGAGCTGTGGGTGAGCTGCCTCTGAGTTGCAGCCTGGGGTGCGCTGGGTTAGCAATTAGAAGGCTTCTCCAAGAAGCAAGAGATTGAGGCTGAATGTCTTCCTAGCTTTGGGGTTTTTCCTGCATCCTTATGCTCTCCGTCAGCAGAGTGATGTAGTCATCTGACTGCTGTAAAGCTGTGTGCCTCCACCCTTCCTGTTCAAGCTGTAAAAAGGAATGTGAAATTTTAGCCAAAAATAATGGACGCAGCTTGCAGCCCAGTGATGACGGCATTCCAGAAGGGAGGGGATAAGTCCCTATCTCTGTTGCAGGAACTGCTTGTTCACTAGTCATCTGTTTAGATAAGTAACAGAAGCAGGAACTCTAGCTTAGGAGCATACCCTCCAAAATTACTGTGAAAATCATGGGGTCAGAAACTTCAGTATCAATTGCATTTCTGTGTGACTGAGGGAGCTCAAGCATGTAGCAGCTTTTTCAGATTTTTCAAATACTACTTTTACAGCCAGATCTTTAAAAACTGGTATGGTGTGAAACCATACGGATCTGTGTCCGGCTGCCTAATCTTGTGCAGAGAATTTGACACAACAATGTCTGATTTGCTGGGATGAAAAAAATAAAGGTGCTGGGGGGGATCTGTCTCTTCTCAAGAGGGCAGTTTTAGTTGTTTCCCTTATTCTGCTTAAAGGAACATATGTTCTCTGGCTTAATTGTAAAAGATACTAAGATTTGTGTTGAATTGCTATTTCTTACTGGAATACTTGATATTTAGTCATCTTTGGAGACAATAATCAGAGGAAAAACTGATCACTTGATGTTTTTCTTGTTTAGTCAAATGACTTTCTTCGGAATGTGTTTGAGCTTGGTCCACCTGTGATGCTAGATGCTGCAACTCTTAAAACAATGAAGATATCTCGTTTTGAAAGGGTAGGTTGTTGCACCTTAGTTTATTTCTTTGATACACTAATGTATTTCTCCCCAGTTAAATGGCATTCCAAACATGTGCTTTCAAAGCTGTTATCTTTAAACTTGTCACTTTGCTTCTAACAGTGTCTCTTATTGTCTGGAACAAAATTAAACCTTGCTTTTATGTGTCTTTGAGCTCTTATTTTAGATTTTCCACTGGTCATGTGTCTTTTCTTCCCAAAGGAGCGTAGAGGTAGAGCTAGTTCCTATTTGGTGCCAGATTTGTGCTCTGTATGTGTGCATCTTCTGCTCTTAGGAGAGCTGTAGGATTTTGAGTAGGAACCTACAGGAAACCATAGAAACTTGAGTCTTTGTAAAGGCAGTATATCCTGAACTCTTCAGTGTGAAACAGACACTAGGAGGATGACTTTGTTCTGTTGGTTGTGAGTGTACTCATCTCATGTACGAAGCTTTTGTGGAATGGTGTCACTGAGTTTAATCCAGAGGGTAAACTTAAATCTATGTTGTATCTGTATGATATTCAAGACCAACCAACTTCCAGAATTGCTCCTAGTTCAGCCTTTCCTCTACAGTCCAAGTTCCTTTTAAATGTGTCGTTCTTTAGTGCAAAGACACTATTCTGTAAATTTCAGAAGACCTACCGGTTTACTTCAGAGAATTAATAAAAATTTTCAGCATTTCTTAACATAAAATCTCTAAAGGACATAAGCCTTTTGAACATCTATCATTAATTTTTGCTTTTACTTTGCAGCACTTGTACAACTCTGCAGCATTCAAGGCTCGGACAAAGGCTAGAAGTAAATGTCGTGATAAAAGAGCAGACGTGGGAGAATTTTTCTAGATCTTCTTTTTCATAGGGTTTGAGTTTCAGAATTAAAATAGATTTGTAACCTTTAAATGATTTTTTTTAAAAAAAAAATAAAATTCTGTAGTCATAGTTTTCACTTGTGCACAGGGATATTGTATAAAGCCTGTAAATATAATGCATGTTGTTGCTTTGTTGCATATGCGCTGTATATAGATGGGTGTAAGATTGGGTGCTGGGGTTCGTTGTAACACTTGGGTTAGGTGCAGCTTGCTCCAAATGAACTGTTAAATGAGGTAGATAACTAGTCAAATGGTGTATGTCAGATTGGATTCCTTACTTTTATATAAAGGTAAATTTAATTCATTGATGAAGTGGTAAGAATGTGCTCATATGAAAACATGAACTTGTTCATGTGAAATTATTTTAATAACTTTTTAAGCTCTTCAGTGGCAGGTAGACAAAGAAATTTTTACATAGTATGACTTTGTCATTAAGAGGGGACTATGAATTACCTTAACTAACTCTGAAATACTGAATGACAAATACTTGCCTCAATGTAAAAAAAGAAAAAGATTCTCATATTCTGAAATTGGATGTTCAGTTTTTGGAATAAAGATGTTTCCCACCACTTCCTTTCTGTGTAAGAGTTTACTATGTGCATGAGAAGCTGAGAAGCTAGCAAAACTTACCGCTTGAAACAAATGAGTTTGTTTATTTGCCCATTCAGACATGTGATTAGGTTAGTCTCAACGCTTTGTTGTGTTTGGAAGGTATATTTTATTTCCATATGGCCGGCATAACAGCCTACTGTTGATTTGTCATTGGTTTTGTAATGGTCAAATGTTCTGGTACTGCAAAACACCTTGTCCCTTACAGGAGCCATTCCAGCTGCCTTGGTTTTGTCATGTCGGGAGTTACTGCACTGCCCTTAGTTTCTGGCTCTAGAGGACAGAAATGTGCCAGTAACAGAACTGTCTGGAGGGTTTATGTAATAAAGACACTAAAACCTAGATAGCTGGAGCTTCTGAACCAGATCTATAAATGAAAGTGCTTGTTAGAGTAAATATTTTTGGAGTTAGCAGTAGAGGAAGTAAACATTGCTCCCCCAAAAAACACCACCCAACACCCTGAAAACTGCTGCTTGTACTGATAAGAGAATGTTTCAGTGTCTGGGGTTTTTGGCTGTTTTTTTAGTTTCAGATATACCAGAACCTATTTCAGAAAACCCGTACTTGCTAATTAATTGCACCTTTTAACTTTTTTTTTCTCAAATAGTGCATTATATAAAAAGTTGTTTGGCTTATGAAACTCTACATACACAAGCCCTTCAACAGAAATTTGTGCTATTACTGACATAGAATCAGAATTGTTTAGGTTGGAAGAGACCTTAAGATGGTCTTAAGATAACTGAGTCCAGAGTCCAGCAACCTAACACTGCCAGGTCTACAACTAAACCATGTCCCTAGGTACTGTATGTCCACCTCTTTTAAATATCTCCAGGGATGGTGACTCAACCATTTCACTGGGCAGCCTCTTCCACTGCTTGACAACCCTTTCAGTGAAGAAGTTTTTCCTAATGTCCAATCTAAATCTTCCCTGGCACAACTGGAGGCCATTTCTTCTTGTTCAATTTTCTTTTTTTTTTAGGTATGAGAAGAGACCAACCCCCACCTTGCTACAACCTCTATTAAGGTAGTTGTAGAGAGATAAGGTCTCCCCTCAGCCTCCTTTTCTCCAGGCTAAACAGCCCCAGCTGCCTCTCATAAGACTGGTTCTTGAGACTCATCACCAGCTTTGTTGCCCTTCTCTGGACGCGTTCCAGCACCGCAGTGTCTTGTAGCAAGGTGCCCAAAACCAAATGCAGGATTCAACACTCAGCCTCTCCAGAGCTGAGTACAGTGAGATGGTCACTTCCCTGGTCACGGTCGCTGTATTTCCTGATACAGACCTGAAAGCTGTTGGCCTTCTTGGTCACCTGGGCAACCTGTGTGCAAGAGTTTGTCATGCAAGTGGAGAAGAAATTTCTGATCCTTCAACTAGACGAAGCTGTCTACATGTGTTTGCCCAGGCTGAGACTGTGCCCCTTTTGAGCTGAGCTGTTTCCAGAAGCCTGCTGGTCTGTCCCGTGGCTTCTGCATAGTCACCTCTGGCATGCTTTGCTAGTGTAAAGTCGTACTTTTGATAGCTTCCTGCCCTGCCAGTGTCTTGCAAAATCGTTGCTCTACAGCACCTCCTGGCAGATGACCAAGCACATGGTTGCCCTTTCCCCCGCTACACTGTAGCTGCCAACCACAGACACCAGGACGGCTTCCAAGGCTATTTGAGGGGAGACAGGCTGCTCTGCTGCCCTGTGGGGATCTGATGGGGTTGTAGATCTTTCCAAGCTTAGAACCAGAGGCGCCTGGATCCTTTTTTCCCAATTAGGATGGTGTCATCCAATTAGGATGATGTCCCCATCTTTTGGGGATGGAGGTGAGAGTTGTTTTATGGCTTGCATGTCTTTGTTTGGAGGGAGGACTTCCAGGAGACCCCTGCAGAAAGGGAGGAGGCTGGCCCACCTACTCAAACTGGGAAGTGGTAGAGCTTGTCAGCTTGGGATGGGAGCTACAAGTCACATGCACCCTCTCTGTTCTTTCCTGAAAGAAAAATGTATTTATTGTCAGTTTAACGGAGTTTGAAATTTTAGGGTGGCTTCAGAAAGTACTGCTTTGAGCTGTAGACCCTTCATGTGTCAGCTGCCTGTGATTACAGTGTGCTGCAGGGTTACGTTCTGCAACATCATCGAGAAAAAACTAGTGAACAAAGGAGCTGCCTGTGACGAAGAAATTACCAGTACTGACAGTTCATCAGAATTTACTTTTTAAACAACTAACGATGCTGTACAAATTAGTCCATCCCATAATACTGTCCCACGCAAATTTGTAAGGGGTGTGGTAAAAGAAGGAAAATACCCTGCTATTTCTAGTCTATGCCTTTAAAGTACTCACGACTGCAATACTGTAGATATGACTCTGCTGCATAGCAAACTGGTTACTCATAGCTACAGTGTTGTAGATATGACTCTTCTGCATAGTAAATGACTTTTAAAAAGGCGTCATAACCCAAAAGATTAGTGAAATACTGGTCACGAGTAACAAACCTTGTCATTCTCCATGGCAGGATATAATTATAATGACTCTAACGTAATAAAAGAGCTGTATATGTGCTGATTTCTTTTTAAGCAGATCAATATTGTGAAGTCAGTATATTTAGCCAAGATGAACTCTAAATATAGCTTGAAAGGGACAGTCTGTTTCATAGCTGCCTTCACAGATCCTGCAGGAGTTGAAGGGTTCCTGTGGGTCTAAAAGTAGAGAGAGGAACAGCAGAACAAGTTTTCTTCAGGTGACTTTCACTGGCTGCTTTCTTCCATACTGGCACATTACCTGAACATAGTTATGTTGTAAGTAACATTTCATTCCCATGGGTTTTAACTCCTTTTAGACTTGATTTCCTTTTTTTTTTTCTGTGAAGAATTTTCAGTGTGTTCTCATTCTAAGTTCTAATTTTACCACAACAGCTTAAGAAGAAATCTAACAGTTACCTGGGGGAAAAAAGTCTTTAAGCAAAGCTGAAGAAGAACCCCCGCAATGTTTAGATTAGTTTGTTGGGAAAATAAGCAATACTTTTGGCCGGTGACACTGATGTCTGTATCCTCTCTCCTTTGTTTTGACATGTCAACGGAATCAAACAAATGTAGTAGAGACTTTGTCGAATTAATAATGGTTATCTTCAATGTGGTTACATGCACAGTGAGGAAAATGGTTTTAAATACTGATTGCAGAAATATATAATAATATATAACATATAATAA